TCCTGTTAATTCCGTTATTTGCCACAATTATCTATTATATATTATTATTAGTAGTAGTATCATTATTGTTACTATCGGCATTTTCATTACAATTTGTTCAGACAAACAAGATTTTGTTTTTATATTGTGTAATACAGACATGAAAATAGATTAGTGAATAAAAATTATAGACTATATATGATGACTGCAAATAACAAATGACTTAATTTATCTTTCTTTATATTTTGAAGATACTACATAAGCAACTATCTAATCATTAGATAATAAAGCTATTTCTTACAAAATCAGAGACTAAACAAATCTAAAGGTTTCCTTAAAATGAATGATTAATTAATATTAAATACCTAACAAGTATTTATTTAAAGAAAAACAAAACGGGAGAAAATGCATTTAGACAAAATATTAAGACTATCATTAGGTGCATATGAACAATGTTAGTGTATCAAACAATAATGTCATACCAGTGGTATGTCAAAAGTTTTTCAAGTGTTTATAAGTTTATTTTGACGAGGAACCAATCAAATATACGATAACAGGTCTTGGATTTTGACGCAGAATTCATTCATTCATTTGGCTAAATAGCGTTTTGGCATTTTAGCTGATAACGGTTCGTGATGAAAACCATAAATCTAATTCCTAACCCTAGCTATCAACTGTAAATCATAATTCTAATTCTTTACACAGGTATATAACCCTCATTTAGCCCTAGTAAGTAGATGGGCATTCTCAAGGTATATATATATATATATTTGAGCCCAAGGGAATATCTGCGCTAATTAAAATCCTACGGTCATAAGTTAGAAGATTCACTAGATATTATATAGGAACAGGAATAAGCCTCAAGATTAAATTTACTGGAAACATTCAGTATAACTATTTAAAATGGTAGAATTGGTTTACATTTTAACAGGTAATCTACAACATAGATATTCAGCATGTATATGTGTGTAAGAGAAAGAGAAGATTAGAAAGATAAATCAACTGATAAAAATAAATTAGGTAATATGAACTCGATAAGTTCAACCATATATATTCACACAATCTCATAGTTCACATTCACATAGAGTAATTAAACTTTACTAGTCCAAAACACTGTATTCAATGTTACAAATAGAACATATCATCATTAGACATGGTTATTTTGTTTTATGTATCAAAAGTAAAAACTAAAACTCAATCCGTGTAATACATAGCCATAATATGATAATTTTAGACTGTTTATTACCATTACTATTAATTCTAGTGAGTAAAACAATAAATAAAAAAAACATTTGTGTATTTATGGACACTTTTTCCTCTTTTTTGTTGTTGGTAATAATACATAAAAGTAGGGCCCATAAAACAAAGTTATAAAACATAATTGAAGGTTGAATAAATATATATATATATATATATCTTTGAACAACTGTTACATATACATGCAGAGAGATATGCACACACACACACACACAAACACACGTACATATACATACAAAAATAATCTAGCCAAATTACAAGTGAGAAAGAGAGTAAAAAGTAATCTGTAGAGAAAATTATAAATAAAAGAAAATATAAAACAATTTTGAAGAGGAGAAAAAGAAAAGACTTTTCAATGGTACACAAACATAGAGAATAAAATTTAAATGAAGAGTGAAGTGTAATATTTAGTCTTTTTTTTTAATAATAAGTAAAAGAAAAATTAGAAAGAGGAAGATTGTAAATTGAAGTAGATTGTAGTGAAAAGTAATTTAGAAGTTGTTGTTTTCTGTGTATGGAATATTCAAACTTTCAATAGTATTATACATAATAAATGAATTGAATCGGCTATTTATTCAATATTAATGATACAGTGAAATATAGATAATCAAATAAGTTTTGATGAATGTTTTATTTCATTAGTTATGAGTCCACGAACTAGAGATCCTATGATTGATGAAAAAGATATGTTTGCAAGTTGAAAGAATTCAAGCTTCCTGAGAAGGGAAAACCTAGAGTCGGCAGTTAAGTGATAAAGTTAGATATATATAACTGGATAATGTACAGTAGTCAGATATTGAATGGTGTCAAGTTTTCCGATCACTGACCTTGCTTGATCAAACAATTTAGTTAAGTTTACGATATAATCAAAAAACTAATTGGTAATACCCCCTTAAGTGCCATGTTATGGTTGAGATTAGAAAGAGTCCGCTCTCCCTCCCAAAATGCTCTCACATAGCCACGTGCATAGCGCCACCGCCAGGAAAGTCCTATACACAGATTTCACACACAATGGGTGTTGTTTACGAAATTGAGAGAACGAAAAGCGGATGTCCGGCGCTTTAACCGGTTGGTGTGTAAGGAGGATCTACCTAGGGGAGTTGGAGAACTATGGTCCCAAACCAACGGTGCACACGGGTTCTGGGATCCTGAGGGAACAGATGACGTATAAACCTATTGTTGGCCAGCGGCTACCATGGGACTGCATCTCCTAACGTTGCTCTACTGACTTGTGAATCAGAAATTTGGGTAAAGGATTTGGGATTGACCCCTTAAGAAGACCACCTACTTCTGTTAAGGCGTCCGGGCAGTATTCTGGCCCTCACACAAATCGAGTGATTTGTGTGGCACATATATATTTGGTGCCTCCTCGATCCAATGTTAATATGTTTAAATAAATAAATAAATTGGTAAAATACATTCGTGAAGTCAATATCAGTTAATATTGATGGATACATGCATAGATACTATGAAAGTGATCGTCTTCTAAAAACATCTGACAGCAGTTACAAAAAAACTTTTATTTCCTAATTATGCCATTGGGCATAAACGTGCTTCCTGTGTAGATTATCTCATTGCTATCTTTTAGTTACAGGTTCCAGTAGTTATCTCAACACAGTAGATTAGTTGAACAATGTGTTGACGTTCCAAGTGATGGATATTAAGTTTTTGATTGAGATCATGATGGATATTAGATTCAAGCCTGAATGTGAACAACATTAGCTTACAGGAAAAACTAGCTGATAAGTCTCAAATAAAACAGTAATAGATGTCTAGAATTCCACAAATGTTATGTAGCAAATATACTAAAGCAAGTCAGAGTTAAAACATTCTAAATCAGAAATGTATTGACATGAATCTTGTCGTGATATAATTCCTTTAAAGGTGGTTTTTTTTTAAGAAAATAGCTTAATTACTCATCAAAGATAAGTAAATGAAAACTTACATTTCTAGGCTCTCACAGAAAGAAACAAAATGGGTAGTCACATTATTGATACACAAAGAGGTAAGGGAGAATAACTACTAAAATGTGAGTATATATATATATATATATATAGTCCTACCGATATGGACACACCAAAGCATATAAAAATCCCACTTTGTCCCTAGGATATACCGTATGACAAGTATAGTAATGTATACAAAGTATAAACAAATCGAAAATTTCTGATAGACTAAGTCTGAAAGAGAATCAATGCAACTGTACAGATCAATAAAAGAAAACCGGACAGGTCTGTACACACATACAGCCAAATATATACATGAAAATTGTCTGATTAAGTCTGCTGATGTAATAATAATATTGATAATATCCATAACAGTAACAGTATTAATCAATGCAGAATGGGAGCAAAACTCAGACGAGACAATCTATTGATTTGTTATTCTTAGTATAGGTCATAAAAAACGGGAGATAGGAAAGTCAATATACTTTTAAGTAGGATAATTTATAACAAGGTTTGAGAATATCATATACATATAATGATTTGACTGACTTTTATTATTATAAAATGGAACTAGAATAAATAGTAATAGAACGATTGAATTTAATGGATAATATTCTAATTAGCGATATTAATACAGTGAGGACACATTAATGGAGATGTAATTCACTTAGCAAGGACAGATTCGTGTACTCAACTTTAAGTTACGCTTAATGTGTGAAGGCTAGTGACACACTACCCGGTTGACCGAACTGAATTAGGTAGGGCAAGAGTTGAATCAGTGAACCACTGATTGAATGTCTAACGCTTTAACCAACACATAAATAACAATTGAATGAGTGAATAAACAAGTGTTGTTGTGATGGGATTCCAACTATGTAAACTGGAAAAATCTAATTATTTGGTATATAGTATATGCGGAAATTCCAGTCTGAGACCATAAACACAGCAGACGCTATAAAGTTCATTTAACAAGCAAATGTGATTGTGAACTTTTGTTAAAGTGTCTATGTGTGCATGAATTTGTATTTTATGCAACACTGTATTTCCATAATGGAATAATATCGCCTAGGTCTATAAAACGGTAGAGGCGACCTTTTGACGAGATAACAGCTTCGAACTGCAGTATTTCATCTACTTCGATTTAAGCAGCTCAGTAGTATCATTAGTTTTCATAAAACAAAAAAATGCTACTTGAAGCTGAGTACAACTTGGTCGATAGAATTCGATCAATATTAAAGGACTAGACAGATATAACATTGGTTACCTAATCACTGATCAACTATTTGTAAATAAATCTCAGTTCTTCAGTTAGTTAGTTGTGGTCAGAACAGTTCATTAATATTTTCTTCGACTGTAAGTTTTTGTGACGCTAGTTCAAATCCCATATGGAGCATCAGGACCTTAAAGATTCCAGGTACATCTTGTTAACGAGTGACATCTAACAGGAAACCTAGATCTAGTGTTTATTCTCGACTAACTTCAATCACTTAGCATCAAAACATAAACTTGTACCTAGTAGGGGAGTTATATTAATTCAAAATGTTAGTAAAATGACAAAAGATTAAATATTGAGTCTAACTGAAATGTACTATTTAATTACAGCTTTTAATTATAAGGCAATGGATGTTATTGAAAATAAAATTACATACACCAAAATTTATCAAATAATGTTCTTGACTTCATAGAATCCTATTGAAAAATAGCATAACTATGAACATCCGATTTATAATACCTAGAAGTAGAATTTAACATTATCCCCTGATATTTAACAGTTAATTTTTATTTAATAAATAATAATCAGTTTCAAATTGAACCAACCTCTTCAGCTTCCTTAGCACGTCGACGTGCTGCCAAAACACGTTGAAGATCAGTCATCATATCTACACCATGAGTACGTGGGCCAGAAATGGTTGGTGCAAAATCAGAAGATCCTAGACCAGCAACAGAAGCAGCACGAATACGTTGCTGTCTGGCCATACGTAATTGAGCATCTAAACTACCAGATTCAGCGACACTATCATGGTCACTAGTATCGGAATTTTCGGCAGCAGACTGTGAACCTGACAGTTTATTACTTATTGTTGTTGTGGTATTTTGATGCCAATTTTTCGACCCAGCTATATTAGCCATTGGTGGGGGTGGAGGAGGCGGGGGAGGTGGTGGCGGCGGTGGTGGTGGTGGAGCGGGAATCAATTGTTGGGATTTGGTATTATTAATTGAAGTGCCTATGGAAATGAATAAAAGTCCTTACTATAAATTAATAAAACTGAAAAGTTGAACATAGACGACAAATGTATCGTAAATGGTGTTAAAATGTTGAAATACAAACGTGAAGATTAAGTGGTGGAATATGCATGCAGTCACATTCAATGATGTTGCATACCTTGGTTATGTACAGTAGCCAATAACTACACTTCTAAGTATGTTAAATTTTCAAACAACAAACAAATAGAAAGCCAGCAATATGATAAGAGGAAATTATGATTCGAAGTTAGTTTATGCAAATAAATAGAGGAATAACTATAAGCAGACGGCTTTGAGATTATGAAACATAGTTTATGATAAGTCGTGTAGGTTGAACGCTATATACGAATCCTAAGCTATTCCCGTAACTCGCAGACTAGAACTACACAGCGACTTGAACTCCAGAAAGAAGACACAAGTATGAGAGAAAACACTTTATCCCCAGGTTCCTTCTAGTACAGAAAATCAAGGGTATTTATAGATGTTGGCGTCTGTTAAATCAACATCATATTTCAGCCAATCCGTTAACGTCATATTATGCTACCGACCAATGGTAGCACGCCACGCTGGAATTCTCGAACGTTCCATCATACTCTGATTGGCTAGGGCCCTTCGGCTCCTTTTTGGGTCTCTGGAGGCTCCGTTGAAGTTCTCCGGAAGCCGACCCAACAGTTTATTTATGTCCCTATTTGATTGGACTATGGAAGAATGTAGGAGTAGTGAATAAAAGGTTTTCAGAAATTTGGTGAAAAAGTAGGGAACGAGTTGAATTTGGAAGACACAGTAAGCATTTAAGGAAATTAACTGGTATCCTTTAGCACCATTTACAAACACATCTACTAAATTGACTTCTAACTGTTCCATTAACCCTTTTACATGCATATGGATAAGGAGGATCTACTTAGGGGAGACGGAAAACCGTGATTTCAAACCAATGGTGCACATGGGCACCCAGGAGATCCAGCCAACACACAAATCAAGTGCCTGGATAGGTGCATATGTAATTGGTGCCCCTTTGTACAGAAGAACGACGAAAGCTCCACAACCAAACCATCCAGCTCAGAGAACAAAACTCCACCAAAAACGCATAAATATTTCTTATAAATGTACTCGACATAACTTTATAAACAAGTAGACTCAGATTTATTTTCCTAGAATTTCTTCACATATTGTGCTTTATCTAGTGGTTAGTTTACAAAAAATATTATGAACAAAGTCGCGCGTTTTGCGTAAACAAAAATCAGAAAGATAAAATTTAGTATGGGGAATTTGTGGAGATGGTGTTTTCACAGCTGAGATAAAGAACTGATCTTAGCTAGACCACCATTCACAACATGAAAGAATTGCAAGGCTGTTTCGTAATAGTATGGGGATTCCTAGTCAACGAGCATCTACGGCTTCGCACAGGAGAATCGAACTCAGCATTTTCGGTTTCACGCTCAAGTGCTGAGCCTCTAGACAACTGAGCGGGAATTCAACGGTGTTAATGTCTAATTCCAACTAATCCATGATTTTGCACAACCATTCATCCATGGAGTGCGGTGGATAGCTGTCTCATACCCGATATGGATCGAACCATTATAGCTATCTGTTACACTGTAAAAAGTAAACTTTCCTCTACAGTAAACTCAATAGTAACATGAAGGACATGTCAATCAACTAGCCATTGAACCGAACAGACTTTAGACGTAGGAATTTATTGATCATTACAGTCAGATATGAGCTAAACCTATCACAATAACAATCCATTAACAAATGATCTCATCAACATAAATATCAAAGAGAATATTTAAACGTAGAAAGAATTTTAGAAACTATTATTTCCGATATTCATATTTCTGTGTAATGCGAAAACTTATACGGTTTAATGTGAGAACGTGTGTTGATGTATTCGTCTATTTAATGAGTTAGTCTTAACTCACCATAACGTATTTACCAGGTTTATGTAGTTGGTCTTCAAAAACACTTTAGGTGTCAGAAATAACGATACTATTTGACTGTTCAAACAGAGTAGAATGACGGTTGAGCTCTCCACCAAGTCAAGTCCTTTTAAACATAAGACCATCGTCTCACCAGAATTCATGAAACGGATATTGTACAGTTACTCATGAGAAGTATCCAACATAAACGGAAATCCAATATCCTGTCAAATGGTTGACATCGATTATCTATTCCGCTATGTTCCCCTAATCTGTGTAGTATAATATATTACCTTTTTGCGATTTTATGTGTCAAGTTAAACTGAAGCAGAGTTTCGGGAATACTCTTGACCATATTATATGTGGTTATTTATGATTTTGATTCTGGAATATTTCATTATTGATCAATTAAACACGAGGATCACCGTGTGTAAAGAATAATGAACTACTACTATTACTAATATTTGATCATCAATCCCCTCAAAGCATCGCTTGCGTATACTAAGACCACCAGAGTGAGCATAAAAATTGGGATACCGGTTTAATGAGGTTGTAAATCTTCATCAACTGGAGTGGTTAGGATATGTGTCACGTATGTCTAACCATAGTCTACCTGGAGGCACGAAGTTTGTTTAGTGTAGCAGTACGTAGGAATAAAGCTATAGTGGCTGAGCCAAGGTGTAGCATCAAATCACTAAAAGAATGAATATTGAACTGAGCTATGTTGGTTATTGTTGACTATCAGGTGGGGATTCTCGCAATTATCGAAACTGATAGTTGGGGAGGATTGGTGGCATTGTTAATAATTAGTCATTATGGCCCAGATACACTCACTTTTCATCTTCTTTAAGATACTGAAGTGCAAAATTGTCTTATACTTTTCTATTCAATGAACTCTGCAATCAACTAAGATGTGCGCTATAAAAGTTCTTTAATGGTAATAAGCTCTGTTATATGCTTTCACATTTGTTTATTATTTGATACATTATGATACATTTATTTTCACTTACTTTACCAATACCAATAGCTTTATTGTTTCAGTTTTTTTCGAAATTACATATAAATTATACACCGTGCTACAATAATCAACACGGTAACTTGATACTACTAGTTAAATCTTTGTCTAAATAAATTTATACGTGAATACAAATATAAAAACTATTTAGACAGGTATATTTGGACCTAGGTTTTGAGTTAGTTGGGACTCGTCAATAAAGCAAGTATGATATAGATGGTTAGTCATTGTTGAAAAATCCCAGTCCTGCAAGAGGCTTCGAATAGTTCGGTAAAAATGCTTCAGATGATGAAACTGGGTGAGGTGGGTCACAGTCAAGGTGAGCATTATTTACATCAATATAGCAACTACACCTTGCTCATAAATGTCAAATAACAAGAAACCTAGGTCCAGGGTTACTTGAGATATCAAGTCATTTATATTGATAACCATATTGCAACTTGAACGTTAGAAATAGACTTACACTAAGGATTAGACAAACATTACATTGGTTACTACTCAGTGGAAAAGCAATGTATGTGAAAATAATAAACTGCATGATTATCGCTTATGCTGTGAGCTTTAATCGAAACGAAATGAGTGTTACAATAACTGATGAGTTATTGTCACTAAAATGTCAGTAAGGTTATGGGATGCAATAGAACGTAAATTAAATAGATAAACATTTATTACAATAAGGGGGTCAAGCAATATTACGCTAACATGTGAAATAATACGGTTACATAAATGTAAAATTTATATATGATTATCAACAACTGAAGTCACTTGGTTAAAGGCAGGGTGGTCGGTAATTGAAGCATGAAAGATATGGGTAAATCTGTGGTTAGTTTTGAAACCAAACATCTTGTGGATTGGAATATATCAAAACGGTATTCCCTGAAATCTTAGGGAAAATGATGTAAAAATGGGAAGCTTTATTCACTTGAAAATGAAGAAACGTCTTGTTGATAAGTGGCGCCTAAAACTAAACACTTAGCCAACCAACATCTAATCATAGTGCACCAGCAAATCGAGTTACATGCCCTAGCGATCATACTGCACTATGATCAATGTAAGTCGATGACAGCTAAGGACTAGATAATATGATATTAGTAACTTGGAAGTGATGGAAATAAGCTTTCAATTATAAACTCACATTGATTTGGTGAAAGAGATCTGGTAATAACAAAAGATTCATCTGAATTCCCACCTAATAATTTAACATTGTTATTGGGAAAATTGGAAGCGTTCAACGTCACGGATGAAGTTGGATTCACATGAGGTTCATTGGATCCATTAGGCAGACCACGAAGATTACGTACACTATCGTCTGAAGATGAATAATACCTATTTTTCAAGAAAAAAACTAATTTAAATTCATTCTAAGAAATAACACAATCCAAATGATCAGCTAAAGTTTCATAGTCTAATGTATAAATAGTCAAATGCTAAGCCACACCGAGTTAAGAAACACAGAGAATGTGATACTATTCAGCCGATGTTTATTGATTAACTTACAACCTGGATGTGAGTCATTCTAGGTATGGAGGCTAGTGATACCATCCTGTTGACCAAATCAACGTAGATGGAGAGGGGCACGAACACACAACTTAGTGACTGAAGGTCAAGCGCCTTAACCATTGAGGCACCACCCCAAGAAAACCAGGAAGCTCTGGATAGAATGTTTCGTCCAAGTATGAAACTCCTTGGCAGTGTGTACCTATTGAACCTAGAACTCAAGCAACGAATACTTAACCATTAGACCACGGTTCATTTTGATTCTGTCTACTTATTCTAAGCTTTTTTCTCTATACGTAAAATAGTGATTGGTTAAGAGATAAATTCTAAAAGTTTTAATGTGGAGCGTTGACCGATGACTTTCAAACATCAACGATGATATTGGACAAACACCAATGGAATCGATTGAAGTTACAAATGTAAACCAGTGGATATCGATCCAGTTGTGAAAAAGTAACGTGTTTGCTACAAGAGAGACGTGAATTTATTATTTTCAATCATGTGCGAGGTCGTAGGTATTTAGACTAATGAAGAGAAGACCAAACCTAGGATGAAAAGTCTAACTAATTCTCTATAATTTCCTATAGTTCTCCAGTTAATATTAATACATGATGAAAATAAACCTCTAATAAAACATTCGTTAAATAGTAATTTGTTAAAAAATAGGTAATTATATATTTTACAGTAAAACAGTGACTTAATAGTTCAACATTCAACCACTAACTACCGAGTTCAATCTTCATTCTATCTACATCAGCTTGAGGGCGTAGCACAGACTGAAGAAAAGAAGAATGTGACACGGCGAGCATGAACCACCGCAAGAACGACTGCTTTAAAGGGGGGGGACGAGTGTGGTGTGTGCTACTGATATTGACATAAGTAGTATATGACGTTACTTGTGAACAGAATGTCTGGCAGCAGAGAGACAAGGGGATCGAACAGTAAAGAATGGGGACAGAATGCGATTTGCATGAAAATGCAAGAACAATGAATTCTGAGTCATTAAGAGACAATTGATGGACATTTTACAAATTACGTATTCACGTATTTTATTAACAAGTCCTGTAATTTTGTGTCAAATACATTCGATTGTACTCCATTGATGTTCTTGTTCACTACAGTATCATTAATCCTCATACTTAGACTAAATGCTCATACTCAAGTATCTGGTGAACAAGTCAATTTAATTTTTTTTTTAAATCTACTCAGTGATATAATAAATGAATTTATAAATAGATAAATAAATGAGAAACTAACTCATTGAAAATAAAAACTTCAAAAGAAGATTTGAATTAATAAAAATCAAATTTAATATGGTTGAATAGATAATTACATGTCTAATTAGTATTCATTAAGGGAAAAAAAAGGTATAAATTCTATGAATAAAACATTAGAAAGTAAAGATCTACATTTTGTAAATAATCAGAGTACGATTTAAAAGTACATTTGCTAAGAAATTAAGATATATGTAATATAAGTACAAGTATATGTTATTCACGTGTAAGATCAGATTCATTATATCGATGGATCAATATTCAGCCAATTGTTAGGTAGTGTCACTAGTCTCTATAAACAAAAAGAATATCCTAACGTACGGATCTATATTTGGTCAGTTTACTATATAAATTCTAGGAATACATACTTCTTTTAGTCTCACTTAAACACTAATGTTTATTGAACGATAAATATAATCACCCATTAGTTAGTCAATATCAACGTAAACCCTAACACCAGAAATACATTGGTTCAAGTTGTCAAAATAAAAACAAAAAAAATCAATTGCACAACATAGTTATAGAATTTCCATATTACGTAATAATATCTAATGTGAAAATCTACATAGTATTATCGGCAAGTGAAATGTTAATGATAATTATGTAAGAAAATGGAATAATTAAGGCCGATTTAGACATTTATACTTGATCACTTAACAGATACGGGTGACCAAGTGGATATAAAGAGTTTCGAGTGATCAATCACACTATCCATTCTGTCATTGGGGACTACATAGATACGTCTTTTGTATACAACGGAAGTTATCACTATTCACCTCAACAAACAAACTTAGGAATTCATAAGATATTTGTAGAACCCCGTTCCCTATCTCAGGAGTTACGACGGAATTCTTGTTTATCGACAGTCTTAAAATTTCCTCTTGTATTCTTCCTTCTTACACAATTCTTGTCTAACCACCATCAATATTCAACTTGTAATTTAAATTTTGTCTATTCTCGTACTACATATTGCATAATATGTCAATTCTATATGTTCAAATTCACATATTCATTATTACCAAGTGAGTATTTGGCACGGTTAAAACGATAGCAATGAGATAATCAATAGTACATAACGTCAAAATGATTAACAACAAAGCCACAGCAAAAGTACAGCTAAAAATGAATTGAAATCTGACATATTTCTAGACTAAACATAAATATGACTTGATTGACATAGCCTAGTCAAGAAATTGCTTTAGTAAATAATTCAAATCCATAAATAAACGAACGAGTAATTCGTTCTAATTTGAGGACTCGTCAACAGTTTGGCATATATGATCCACTTAGACAGACGAACTCAGAACCTGTAGATTACACCCAGGAAATAATACAATGGAAACCAAGTAATCAGAATCTGACTGTCCATTGCTCTTTGAAATATATATATGTGCAAAGTGGAACTGAATGAATGACAAGGTTAAATCAAGTCGAAAATTCATAAAATTTATTCAATCAAAAAGAAATACTCCAAAATATTGGAAAAGAATCAGAACAAACAAGATGATTAACGATTATACAAGAACTTATACTGTTGAATAAAAATAACACAAGTATGTTACTACTTTATTCACAATGAATATTATGAGTTAAGTAAACAGTTAGTCAGCTACAACGTAGTATCAGGCACATATATGCATCGGTTCAAGTTGTCACACTTCATTAGCACAACAAGATCAACACCAAATTCATAGAAATAGTTACTTCAAAGGTAGTATTATATAAAACAAAGATTGTGTATAAGGATATAATACAGGAAGAAAGAATTAGTTGATAGAAAGAAAGGTAGAAAGCAATTTTAACCTCACGGTTTCAGGGAAGACAAAGAGTGTATACACCTACATCACTGTGATTGATTCTGAGACACGTTTGACTACTTCACTCCATCTTTAGTTCAAATATTGACGCAGGCCAGTTTTGAAGCAATGACTCGCATTTAGAAGACGAGAAAGGCACCTCAAACCTTCTGGCATTTTCGCTCAGTGCTACCAAAAGACTACATTTTATCAGCGTCTTCAACAAACAGGACTATGTCATCTGAGTATTCTAAGTTGATCACTATTTAAGTAATCAGATAATGCACAACTGCCGTACGTAAAACAGATAGAAATAGCAGCATAAATGATGACCCTAAATATGTAGCCACTAAGCCATATTCTTATATCGTATACTGATTATTCATACTAAAATTGGAACTATACATATATATGTATGGAACATTTGATCGCTACATCTAAATTAAAGAAAACACTTAATAATAATAACAACAATAATAATACAAGTTCAGCAGTTGAAACCATTACAAATTGGTTAAAAAACAGTTAGACAGGTCGTGTAGAATTTATTGAATTATAATTTAGGAAAAATATATAGATGATAACTTGAATACACATATCAGCTGCCTGTGGCATTGTAAACTAATTGAAATGAATCAAGATTAAAGCAAAGGCGTATATTTATTGATACGTATAAATTTTCTCTTTATTTTCTCACTAAGATACCAATCAGAATAGCCAATATTTACAGAGACTATACAAAAACTTATGTAAATCACATTCTGTTTAATTAATTACACTGCCTTAAGAGATATGGAAATAGAAACTTCACTTATATATATCACCACCCTACATATGTCAATCATCCTCATTTTTTCTTCCTCACCTAAGTTCCTAAACTAGAAATTTACTTTAATGATAATGAGATTAATCAGATAACTTGAGTGAAGAACAAGCAGAATAAGACAGAGAAAGGTTTTCACAGCATTAACAATGTTTTATGTTGAATAACTCTCTATATCACACTATCTATCTATCTATCTATTTCTCTGCCTTTTAAGTTCTACAACTATCCTGCCCCAAATTACCTATTCTATTAAATTGTATGTAAAATAATCAATCGTTGTAACAAGGCAAATTGAATTTCTCACTTTAGAAAAAGTAATGATAATAATAATAGAAAATTATTAAACAGTAATGAATTAATTTAATTACATTATAGATATGGATTAACAACAAATATTTGTGAAGTGGTTGGATGTATTATATAAAAAAAGGTAATTTCTGTCAATATGACCTTCCTTTAAATCTTTTATTATCCAATAGAGAATTATCTCAACAAAGTGGCTAACTACTTAAATATAAGCACTTATACGCACAGAACTAACCGGTGTGATAATGTTCTTGAAACAGTTTATTTTCAACTGCTATGCTGTGAATTTTGGGTCGATATTTGTTATACTTATTATATCAATTAAGTAGAATAAATAATTTGTGTTAGGCAAGGTACATGATAATTTGGGTGAAGCGAAACCACTTTAGTCAACCAACCACTCAATTTACTTATACTTATTGTAATTGATGGTGTGGTCAAAGAACAGACCCGAAGGGTAAATACCTATTTATTTTTAACCCTAACATAAAAATTTATGTTCTATTTTCTGAGCTAATGTTTCTTTTCAACTCTCATTTCTCTGTATCTTCTTTCTTTTTCTCTACACATCCTTTTTCGATTATTTTAAAATGCAACAAACTGTGCATTTCTTAATTTAGCTAAACTTTTGAATGTTATGCTACAACAAATGTCAAGGAGAGTTTATGTCCCTTCTTAATATATTCTCATACAACAGCACAACCACACCCTACTTTTGCATGAGGGTCTTATTTCCTGTCATTATGAGATACGATTGTTCCGGTAAAATTTGGAAAGTGGAAACCCAACGCTTAAACCGATTGTGTTCACACAAATACCCCAACGGATGTAAATGGGAAACATTGATTTCAAACAAATACCCATATAGCCTCCAAAATATTAGTGAAGTAAAAAGAGTAAAGAAAACATTGGATAATAGAATCGATCAACATTTTTGCATTAATATTCATCATCTTAAAAACAATAACTTCTTGAAATAAAAAACACTTACGGTGAATCACAATTTACACCATGTTCTGTATTACCATTCATTGAACAACCATTTATCGCGGATACATTTTGTTCCGTTGATGATTTAAGACGTGGAACTATTTGTAATACAAAATGGAACATGAGAACCAATAAATAATAAAAATGTTCAAGTCAATAAATCATTAAAATTAAAAATAGGGGAACAACAAAAAGGAAAGTGTAATAATCAAGACTTAAAAAAGAATAACTAACACTTTCTAAATCATATGTATATAATAATGTCGGGGTGACCCAGAATATTCCTCGAAAAATACCCAGAGGGGTCCTGAAAACGCTGGGAAACATCTTATTCAATCAACATTGAATAGTGGTGTTTCGGAAACATTTAGAGAGTGGAGAGTCACTTGTCACATTTCTGATCGGGTGATCACCTATCCTACTACTATGTTCATTAAGGTTCCAGAAGCCCAAGGCCATCTGAACTTCGGCACACAAACCTACCTTGAAGTAAGGCGTTCTTTTCATATTTCGCGGCTTTTCTCTCGTGTTCAGGTTGTCTTGTAGATTTAGACTGGGGTTGTAAGAGGAGCTTAGGAAACCGATTCAGGAGTTCAGTTAGAAGATTTATCAAATACAAATACAAATATAAACTCTTTTCAAGACAATAAATTGGTAACGAATTTCACTTCAGTATCATATAATGACAGAACCAGTTTATAAAATACATACCATAATTTTCCGAAATTAAATTGAGATGCCGATTTAGTGACTAAGGTCTATACTTTGTTAAAACTGAGTTCTTTGCATAGGGTGATTCATATGTGAGCCTTCCATTGTCTTTCTACACAATACCATCAATATAAACTTTCGATTGAAGTGAACTATAACAGGATAAAGGCCAACAACAATCAGTCAAAATTGAAGATCAAAAGAACAAACCGTTAGTCACTTATGGAGGAATTCTCAAAGCATACTCTAGTTTAACGTTTATGATGATCATATTGTCTAGAAAGACAATGAAAGCTCCATGATAAAACTACACAGTACAGAGAACGCTATTTCAACAAAATCATGCACTTGAGCTACAAATCATCATCATCTTTCTTAAATTTACCATTATCACAGTTAAATTACTCAAGATTAAATGAAACAAAAAACTCAAATGTGCAGAAGATTCTTTTAATGGATTTCCGGTTTATGTTAGTTCATAATGAACACTGACTACTTGACTGTATAAATAGATCGATTATCAACATCTATGAAATGAATGGCGTAATTTTAATCAAAACAAGTATAACGAATTATTTATTATACAAATCATATGATATGCAATTAAATAGTAATTATTATCAAACCAAAACACGAATATGTTATGCAATAAAAATGAAGATGATAACATTGTATAATATCATAGGCATGGTATATATTGTATATGTCACATATAAGATAATTCGTGTCATGAATTAAATATTAGAAATAAACAAAGTGTACCATTTGTTGAATATAATTTATATACCAAGTAAGAGAATTATCACAATCATATTTACACATTACAACTACTTATAAACAACAAAGAAAATTTACCATTTAATAATAAGTTTACATGATAAAACAATAAATTGCATAATTTAGTATAGTTCAAACTAGTCTAGATATAGGTCTATAAACCATTTACATCTATGTAGAATTAAAAATAGAGACTGTAAACAAAACAAGAAACAGTTGTCTTTTTTTGACTGATTCAAGTTGAATTTACAGAAAATATTGTGCATTTCTTAACAGTTTGTACAATCGTTTTATAACAGAGAATAGTAAAATAATAATGACAAACAGAAAACATCAATAAAGAAGTCTGGCACAGATATTCTTGACTCAGATCCCATAGGACAATGAGATGAAAATAACAAAAGAGATCGAAGTAAAATAGTACGAATGATAAAAAGCAAAACTAAGCTATGGAAAGATGATTTTACAAGACAAATTGGAAAGGCATATATATGAAAGTATATTGGACTTCGAGATTAATAGGATGGTGAAGAGTGAATACATTTGTGTCACTGCGAACGATTCTGAGTCATATCATGTAAGGTAGCCAACAATGTATTAAAAAGACACAATTCAATGGTTGGACTCACAAGTAGTATCTTTAATTTGATGTATAAATCGTTTACCATATATATGAGCTTATGTACTTAACCTTTGGTCGCAATTCAATGTGTAAAAGTCACACTGATATTACTTGGGTCCCTAAACTAATGAAGTGAATGGAGTGGGGTCCCAACCTATGTCGCTAAAAATTACCCGGTAAGTAATTGATCTAATTATTGCCCGTATTATTTAATTATATGCAAACATTGACATGACGACCCACATATTTGTTACAGATTGTTGACGTTGTATATGAACAATGTGTTGGATTCTGAATTGATGAGCCTCATTCGAAATATATTTCTCGTCTACAGTGTATTAACGATTCCTTCAGGCCTAGTTCCTCGATAAGCAGTTCTAAGTCCAGATGAATTTCTAACAATCAGTGAGAAGTTATCATTTAAATTAGTACTTATTAGGAAACTGTATTTGTAATCTTGTGAGAATTAACGCTCCCCGTAAAATTTAGCCATTCATCACGTAATATAAAAGTTTCAGACGCTACCAGTGAGGGATTCCGTATGCGATTGAACTGTCATAGGGCTGAGATTTTTACATTCAATGATCACAAATGTTATGCTTATCTAATCCTTAGTGCATCAAAGTATAGTAGGCGTGACTTTTAGTTACTTGGGCTTGGTTTCAAGTTGAAAACAGTCTATAAAATTCGGCAAACACTGACGGCTAGACAGACATGTCTTTGATTGCTATCGTGAATAATCACAGTAAATTAAGGTATATGAAAAGAATTGTTTACAGAATAAACAAAATTGTATTTGATGTTTTTTTAAATAGTTAAGCACATAGTACAAACCAATGTTACTTTTGTCTGGTCCTTTAGTACTGACTAAATTCTATGAAGTTACAATGCAACCACTAATCTATGCAAATTGACATCGTATCCATTATGTTAAAATGTTAAGTGGTTGGAGATAGTTGGCAGAAAACACAAAACTTAAGTTTCGTATGCTAACTGGCTGTGGTGACACATCAGACTGTAAAGCTGGGTGACGCAAATTCGAATATCACACAGACAGCAATAGACTGTAGCTATATCTAGCTGGCCAGTATCGGGCAACACGAAACCTAGGTTGAGGATATCTTTCCAATTACCTCCAACCAACATAACACACAAAAGGGCAGTTTCAACTTAGATATATTAAACGTTGGTCTGTTTGCTTTATCAACTCGTCCATTTGATTCACCTACCAAAATTAACAAGTCTATCAATAATGGTAAACGAAAAAAAAAGACAGAAATTTTCCAAAATATAATTAAACAGAATTTCAGGTTACAAAAGAGGAAATAAGGATATAGAGTTGTTGAGTGAATTGAGAAGAAACGGGAACGCAACAACAACGATATATGTAAGATAGTTCATGTGCTGAACAGTAATCAACTTAATTTCTCTTCTTTCCATCAGATTATCATACCAGCTCGTGTGTTTTTGTTGAATTAGTCATTCGACCTAAGTTATTTAACACAATACACAAAGAATTAATCTAAGATCAGTTTAACTGTGTCTGTATTTCACATGTTTTTGTCTGTTAGACAATACTAACAAACTATGGAATGTTGCGTAACGTAAGTGGTTCTAATTTTTACAACTTATACCAGTTGATCGATCGATCGATCGGGATGAATTACATAGGTCAAATATTTATCCTATATTTAAAAGAGATCAATTTGGAAATATTCATCAGTTAATCGTCAGCATCATCTTCGGTAACAACAATAAGAAAGCAAGAAACCATGAACGAAATTCCGTTCTTAGATGCCTTAGTCATCAGAATAAAAACATAGTAACGATGGAAGCATAAGTATACAGGAGGTCAGTAACAGTCACAACCCAACAGTATATATGAGTTTGGTACAAAGACTATCTAGAAGACCCAAATCACACTGTAACACTCTCATAGCACAAGAGAATGAAGAAACTCATCTATTATAAATGTTTTAAACAAAAAGAGCATTTTGGAAGTTACTAGGAGGACACTGATGACTTTCAGAATCAGTGTGAATGTTGAGTGATCTACATAATAAACTTCACCATCTGTGAGAAAACAGGAAACAGCATCTAACTGTCTTACCATTGGTTTGAAACTAATCATTAATGAGTCGCTCAAGATGTTCAAGTCCCATGCACACAGAAACAACATTTACTCATTGACTAATATAGATTCTTCTCATTTAGTCAACTGAATTTATGATAATTGATAAATTAATTAGTGTGATCTTTTGATATAATCAATGAAACAGAACGCAAACGTAGTGCGCTTATGAATTTCCATAACTTGATTTGTTAGTGATTTATTGATAAGTCTTGCGGACTGAACGCTATATTCGTCTCCTAAGCTATTCTGTCACCCCAAGCTAGAACTATAGAGCGACCTGAACACGAGAGAGGAGACTCAAAGTACGCGAGAAGTAGTTTACTCCAAGGTTCATTTTAATACAGAGAATATAGGGTTTTTATAATATTTTAAATATCCTTGGGTTGCTTAGAAGATTCTGGAATGCTACTAAACATAGTAGCAGTGTAGCAGCCAGCCAATCAGAACCTGTACATGTGACGTTTCGCTTCCTTGATATTTTTGGCAAAAACTTCAGGTGAACGCTGATTCGACGAAACGCATCTTAGTGATTCCTGATGCTTGCTTGTCTTTTGCAAGCAATTTTCTGGATCACCCCAACATTTGTAAAGGTAGGATCTTTGTTATTACCGTTACTATGATTATGAAAGCACGAATATTCCTTATCAATTATTTGGAAATTTCAAGAATTTTTATATAAATTATTAGTTTGCTTCCTAGTTTTCACAGTAAACACATGTTTTTTTTAAAAAATATGTCTAACACCATTTTTAAATACGTGACAACAATATTTCCTTAGCTTTAACTGCACAACAAAAGAGAATGTTCAGTCGGCTTCCGAGAACTACGACGGAGCCTCCAGAGGCCCTAAAGGTGCCGAAGTCTCCAGTCAATCAGATCATGATGGGGCTTTCTAGAATATCAACGTGGCACGCTACTATTGGTCAGTAGCATATGTCTCTTTGCGGGTTGGCCAAAATATAATGTTGATTTAACAAATGCTAATATCTATAAATACCCGTGATTTCCTGTACATTTCGATTCTTACCAAATAAACACTTCTCCAGCTTTTCTTTTGTCTTCTGATTTGCGACGGTGAAGTTCAACGCTCGAGTGTCGTAGTCGTAAACCGTATTCTGCGTTAATCAAGTAGCGAACCTAACACTGAAAACGAGGATGGGATTTGAACCCACTACAGGGCATGTCTCTGAAATAAACATTCTTTGTTCTTTTTTTCACTCCGAACCTAACAGAGAGATTTCATGTTATGTGACAATTTAGCAAATCAGTCCGAGTAGCACCGATGATTGACTAGTAGTTGAATCATAGTAAAAAAGAACCGGTCAATAGAATGAGAATGCACACTCCTTTGATGACATGTAAGTCATATTTATACAAACTATTATACTCCAATTATTTTTGACAACTATAACCGTTTCTGTAATGTATTTTGAGTTAATTCAGTTATTATTTGTTAATAATAATAATAATATATCCGACAATATGTCGACACCAAAAAATATAACACTAAAACGAACATTTTCGTGATTGTGATATCAATTTAATTTTAAACTAGAGTTCTGTAAACACTTATCAGTCATATGAAACGTAGAATCTGTATATATGTGTATATGTTTAAATGACCACAATAGGTTGGCACAGAGAGATCAAACTACCAATCCAAATCTCAGAGTAGTAGAAGTGGTAACTGTATCAGGAGTAGTGGCAGCAGAAAAGATTAGGTATTGATTAAAAATTATATCAGCCAACGTACCCAACCATTGGTCACAATAACCGTTAGGACCCAAAACAAGTAGTATACACCTACCAACATGTATCAGTCCAACAGTAAATGACTTCATAGATTGAGGCCACATTTTTGTCTGACTGTCCCTAGTTTTCTTCCAGCAAGCAACAATAAAATTTTACAGATTGAAATCATGAGTCACTTGAACCTAGACCACCACTGAAAACCTGGAAGCACTGGACGGCCGTTTCGTCCTAGTATGGGACCCCTCGGCAGTGCGCATCCACGATCCCGCACCACGCGGGGCTCGAACCCAGGACCTACTGGCTTCGCGCGCGAGCACTTAACCATTAGACCACTGAGCCGGCACCCAACGGTGTTAATGCCTAACTTCAACCAATCCACGAAGTTGCGCCACCGTACACCATTGTCTTCAGTGAGTTCCTATCTCACAACAGACCTGGTCTAGCTTCAACTGACTCATGATTTCAATCTGTGAAATTTCTAAAATCTCCACAAAACCCATTCTGATAATAATAAAATTTTAATAAAACATCTTTCCTGATTTCTTTTAAAAGAATAAGCTAAAGCTATAGTTGTGAAATAACTTACCAAACACAAATGCTTATATAACTTCTGAGTTTCCTATCGAATACCTCCAACCACCACCTTAACTTCCGGGGTTCGAACCCATAATATTTGTTTTACTGCTACGTTACTGGTACTGATAATAATAATAATAATAATAATAATAATAATAATAATAATAACGATAATAATAATAATAATAATAATAATAATAATAATAATAATAATAATAATAATAATAATAATAATAATAATAATAATAATAATAATAATAATAATAATAATAATAATAATAATAATAATAATAATAATAATAATAATAATAATAATAATAATAATAATAATAATAATAATAATAATAATAATAATAATAATAATAATAATAATAATAATAATAATAATAATAATAATAATAATAATAATAATAATAATAATAATAATAATAATAATAATAATAATAATAATAATAATAATAATAATAATAATAATAATAATAATAATAATAATAATAATAATAATAATAATAATAATAATAATAATAATAATAATAATAATAATAATAATAATAATAATAATAATAATAATAATAATAATAATAATAATAATAATAATAATAATAATAATAATAATAATAATAATAATAATAATAATAATAATAATAATAATAATAATAATAATAATAATAATATATAATATATTAATAATAATAATAATAATAATAATAATAATAATAATAATAATAATAATAATAATAATAATAATAATAATAATAATAATAATAATAATAATAATAATAATAATAATAATAATAATAATAATAATAATAATAATAATAATAATAATAATAATAATAATAATAACGATAATAATAATAATAATAATAATAATAATAACTCCAAAACAATGGTAAGCAAATTGAACTAACAAGTATACCTTTGGCTGATAAATTTTAACTGGATCTCCCATCGATTATCTTGAAATACTGAGTACAGGATTGTTACTACCACTATTATTACAGCAGACCAATAATTAAACATGAATTTTATAGCAAATAAATTTCTCTAAAATGTTATGTACAGATAAACATGTGCTTGCAAAAATTAAAAGACCAACAATGAAGACTTACTTTCAGTATTCTGATGATTAGAGGTATTAGTTTTACATGTTGTTGTATAACCCGGGTAGACATTCTGATTATCACTTAAAATAATATTATTTACACTGTTCACAATTGCCTCATTGTAATCATTGCATAAAGTGTCTCGATCAGACTGCTGATTCGATAATGCCGATGATGATAATGCTTTGTTCTGATCGGTGTAACTTTCAGTTGGTTCAGTTATGTCCTGTAAATAATAATGAAAAAATAATAATAAAGAATATACCAAAATAGTGAAACTCGAAAAAAATATAACAAAAATACTGCGTTAGAGTAAATCAAGTTCTTTATTGAACTGAAAGGAAAATGTAACTTAATAGTAGTCGGCAATAAGTAGTCTTACCACATGATAGGACAAATTACGGTAAGAGGGATAAGCATACACGTCACCTCGATGGTCAAATCAAGGTAATTAGACTATGATAGAGTCGGTAATGTAACGAATTACAAATCAATGTCCAGCTAACCAGAATCCGGGCCTATAAATTTAGATAGCACTATGGCTAGAAGAGACCATCGTAATTTGAAATATATGAGAAAGTGACTGGTGTAGGTGTCAGCAATTCACACGAGTATATACGTTTGTTTCAAAATCAAATAGATGAGATTTTGAGCCATGTCATTCAAGGTCTCTAACCATCGGTTGCTATCGTCTGGCGGATCCCAACCAGGTAGTCTACACCTACCAACATGGTTCAGTCCACTTGTCAGTGAATTCATGGACTTGTGCCATGTTTTGGTCTGGCCGCCCCTAGCTTTCTTCCAACCTACTCCTACACCATAAAACATAGCACGTCGGGGCAGTCGGTGGTTGGGCATACGTAACACGTGTCCCAGTTATCTCAACTGATGACGTTTCACTACGTCATCAATTGATTCGCCATCCTTACCTAGTACGCGTTTTCTAACAACTGCATTACTTACTCGATGGTCCCAGTATGTACGAGCAATGCTTCGAAGACACCTATGATCGAATACCAGTAACCTACGAATATCCTCTACACTTACCGGCCATGTTTCACTGCCATAAAGTAGGACGGAACGAACTGCTGAGCAGTAAACACGTCCTTTGGTTGGTAGACAGATATCTTGCCTACGCCATAAATGACGCAAGTTGGCAAAAGCTAATCGAGCCTTCTGTATCCGTGCTGAGATTTCGTCACACACCAGACCACAAGGGCTGATGAGACTTCCCGGATAAGTGAAGCGGTCGACACGCTCAACTACTTCACTCCCTATTATTAGTTCGGGTGTCGATGCAACCCAATCCCGAAGCAACATTTTGCATCTCGAGGGGGAGAATCGCATCCCGAACATGCCTGCATTGTTGCTTAGAGTGGTCAGAAGACTCTGCATTTTGTCAGCGTCTTCACCAAATGGAACTATGTCATCGGCATATTATAAGTTAACAAATGAATCTCCCGGTAGAAGTTCAACCCCTGGAAATTTAGATGAGGAAAGTGTTATCTCTAAAAGCACGTCAACGATAAAATTAAACAATCGTTGTTATAACTGGATATGAGGGATTATAAAAATCATAAGTGAGGATACAAAAAAACGTACACACACACACTTACAGAGGATGAAATCTGACGATTTTGGACTAATATTCCCGTAGGTTGTGCAGAATATGCCTGATTGTTATTATTGGTATAGTTAGTCACTTGTTGATTCGATGATAGCTGTTGATTTGGTATTTGGTATTTTGATTGTTGATATTGGTTTAGTTGCATATCTTGATTAATAGTAGTAGTTGTTGTTGTTTCATTTGATACCAACTGATCATAAGTGACAGGAGGCTTACATTGTTGAGCTTGTAAAGCCTGTTGACAATGTAGTGCAGCTAGACTTTCTAAAGCTGATTTAACAGCGGCAGCAAATGCATCTGCTTCTTCAACTGATGTGAAATTCAAGCCGTAAACTTGTTGTCTACTATCACGCCACTGATGAAACGTTGGACGCGCTTGATGATATTTTAACCCACGTGCAATGGCACAATTAATAACAACCTAATAGTCATATATGCAGAGATTAGCAACGGTAAGAAGTTATAATAAATAAATTAATGATATAAAATCACTAAGGGGGCTTTTAGGAAAACTGCTTTGGTTGCAGAAAAAATCTTCACTGAACATCGGTAGTAGTCAGAGGGATAAGAGTAACACAGAAGTCATTTTGACAACGGTTTTTAATACTTTAATAGTCATTTATTTAGTTGAACATATAAATATTGGCACAAAGGGGCAGCGAACACATATGCGCTACATAAGGCACTTGATTTATTGTGTGGGCTGGGATAGTGCCCATGTGCCCAAACCGAAGCAAGTGGTTTTCTTAGGGGACCACACCCGGGGCTTTCGACCTAAAGGTCTGATCCACAAGGCAGTGGAACAACGTCAGGAGATGCAGTCCCACGGTAACCGGTGACCAAGGAATTGGTTCATACGCCATTTGGTCCCGGAGCCCGTGTGCACCATCGGTTTGAAACCAGCCTGATTTTCTCTAGTCTGCTCTTCATGAGCTTTAGTTAGGCGTCGAAGTATTATTGAAGCTAATATTTTAGACACTATATTAGTCAAACTGATTCCTCTGTGATTGTCACAAGAAGACTTTTGTCCTTTCTTATAGACTGGCACAATCAGTGATTGGGACCAGTCAGATGGGATTACGTCCAGTTCCCAGATTCTACCTAAGACCTCAGTCAATCTTGCTGCTAATACTGGACCGCCATCTTTAAAAATCCCAGGGGTAAGCCTGTCAGGGCGTGCTGCTCTCCCACGCTTCAGATTTCATATAGCTTTTTCAACTTCATAAAGAGTCGGAGGACTTACATTAACTTGCCATTCAGGTAGACTGGAGATCGTGGGAAACCAAAGTGTGGCTGAAGGTCAGTTGAACTGATCCCTAAAGTGTTCTTCCCATCGATCCAATTTCCTGGATTGAGAATGTATAATATGTCCATCTTTTTCTGAGATAGTTTCGCTAACAGTCGGGTTCCTAATACCGGTTTCCTTAACAAGTCTGAACATTTGTCTGCTATCAAATGATTATAACTACTAACTTTATTTTTTAAAAGATGAAATTGGGGGCTCACTTCAAAATTACACATAGTAGTTGTGCCACACAAGCTCGATCAAGTTGATAAATGATGAATATCTATCGATTATATCGGAAGATAACTAAATGATGCCATAAACCAAACCAAAATCAGTAAAGCGATAAATACTAGTTTGCTGAAGTAATAGGTAGATACACAATGTACATGGATATGCAAAAAACATTTGGATGACCTCAATAATAAACTGATGAACCAAATCAAGGAAGATATAGTGATTTGAAGGAAGTGTTGAGGAGATACTCACAGGATACATAATGACATGAGAGACTGGTCATTTGCAGTGCAGTGTCGGTTACTATGTTAAGCCCATACAACTTATTCTAACTTCTGGACAGGCCAATTTATCCATTCTTCTTGAGTCATGTTTTGACCTTGTTAATTATTCACTTATCAATCCTGGCTGTCTTTATATGAGCGTATGCTTGTATATCTTATCCTACTCATCACAAGTCTGTAGCTTATTTTTGTGTGACTATAAATATCGATTAACGCTTGACCAAATGGAGTTTTTCATATGCCTTCTCCACCGCGCATCCTTGTTTCGCTTCGCTCTCTCTTTTTCGCTTTATTCGCTGCGACTCTCTGATTGTCTGTTCCGATCAACGACTGTACAAAATATATGTGTTCAAACATACATTTTCGCATTTGACCTATTTAATTCCGTTATTCACCAACACGAGTTAAGTCTATAATTTTATACGAGTGACGATATGCATAACTCAATAACAATCAATCACATGATCTAACTGAAGTCAGATCTCGGGCCACTAAAGCAGTCCTTAACACTAATAGCAAGAAGATTCGACTAACCGTTAAAAATGAATTAGATATAATGAGCTTTCAGGATCTCTATTTCGATATGGTTACTTAATTGATGTCGTTCAGTGATAAGAACTTCTAAAAGACAAGGCTACTGCCTTATAATCAGCACAAAAGAATTGTATTAAGACATCTATTTGGGAGCCTTAAAAAATCGTCTTTTAAGAACTTCAAGAAAGTAACCACTAATTATGCCATACCTCACGATCTGGTAACCTCCATCCAACAACTCGATAGGCATTAGTTAACGTGTTGTGATATAGTTGAACTTTGGAAATGCCATGTCCTGGGCCACTTGGGATCCAAGTACTAGCCTTCGAATCATACAGCATAACATTTGCTTTTGCTGTGGCCACGGCACACTCACTACAATAACGAAACATGACATGAAGAAAATTAATAAAAATAAAGTAGTTTGTAAGTAATCTATAACCTGGGGTAACTTCATTTTTTTCGTTATAACTTTACGAAATCTCGCTTGACTTCCCTGGATGTACTAAAGACTACATAAAGGGGAAAAATTAGATGAGGTTTTGTGCCAAAACCGAGATTTTTTCTAATGCGAAACGAATGCAGTTCCCCAGAATACATAATTTAACTACATATTCGTCAACCATTCGTACAAAAGTATTGCCCCATACTTAACAAAACAGGTTCTCTAATATTTGAAAAACGATACTTTCCGTCAGTTTTAGCCTGACGGGATCATATCGATCGCCTGCACTAAGTAAACTAAATAGGGAAGATCAAGATACATCAATCTGACTATTGGCCTGATTCATTTCGGGATGCTAAGGTTATGGTCTAAGAAAATCGTTATTTATGGGTAGGGCCACTGAGCTAAATGATATAAAGTCAATGGAGTCACGATTATTTTTACATGTCCTTAAATATTTAGTGTCATCTCACGATTTTTATTATTCGAAAGATGAAACTATAATTTATGGATGCGTTCTAGCCGACAGTAAAGTGACCTTGAGGATGGCCACCCATTTACTAGAGCCAAATGAGTGCTGTAAACCAGTGTAGAGAGCTGGAATTATGATTTTGATGGTTAGGGTTAGGAATTAGATTTATTATCTTCATCACGAACTGGCATGAGCTAAAATGCCAAAACGCTATTTAGCCAAATGAATAAAGTTCGTGCCGAAATCCAAGACCTGTAATCTTAAATGTGATTTGTCCGTCCATAAATTATAGTCTCTCCATGTTAAAGTCTACAGAGTACACTAGTGACGAACTGTTTTACACTGCAGCATGATTTTCTTTGTCATAACACAACAAACACTCGACCACCATGCTTTAAACTATTTTGGAGAGTCAGGAAACATTAAAAACACACAAGTCAGAACACTTTCACAAGTATAAAGTTATTGAATGCGGCTATGAGGATTGTCACAGCAGATGTGAACATAAGACAGTTGTGCACATTAATTCTAGTTTACAGGACGAAATTAACTAAAAGTACTGCATTATAGTGTGTAGGTAAATGAGCGAATTCACCCAAACTTACGCCATAACAAACCGACTACGGTCAACACCCGCTCTCCTGGTTCGACCTTGAGAAGTTAAAAAATCCCATGGAGTTGCAAATCTGAAGTATAAAATGAATAATTAGAAGAAACAAAGCACAGTTGAGAAATCAGCAAACCGCGAAATATGAACAATCCTCAAGGATAAGCAACACGATATTCAAGAAATTTGTGTTTACCTGTAACACTTTACATCTATTTTTCGACTCCAGTCAAACAAATTACTAAACTGATGTCGAACTCTGTGGGTCCACACAACGCGTTTCCGTGTTTTTAAATGATGCTCTTCGAAACACTTTACACATCGATCAAAATAAGTGTGATTAAAACGGAAAGAATAGGAAATTTCGGTAAACTGGTGTGGAATATACTGATTATTACGTAAATAATATCATGTTTCCTCCGGAATGCTCGGAAGATTTGCTTACACCGCCTAGAATGGCAGCACATTTCATGACTGTACAGCTCTCAAAAAGCGAAACCAAACCTGTTATCTATCCTACTCTAGCTTAAGGGTGTCCTATCTTGAACTAATGTTATGACTGAACTTGGTTAATTTTTTGGGGGATATTAGTGTAAAACATTCCCTAACGTAAAAAGTCTGCGCAGCAAGTCGCAATTTTCGCATTTTAATAATGACAACCTCAGAGAAACTATGAAACGAGCGAGGCAGATTTCAGGATGAAAATCGTCATGGCTCGTAGAAATGAAGATGACTCATATTACGCCAATAGCGCAGGAATCTTATTGGCTTCCACTGGATATTCAAGAGACAATGACCTTAAATTTGATATAGCCCCATGAATTTCGGAATTTTGAAAAATTCCGACCACTATGTCTTGAAATATAAATTTTCTGTATTTTAAGATGTACCCATTCAGTTTGGGAAGGACAGGAGGCTCGATGGCCTATGTTAGCCCTGGCAATGGTCGTCTCTCAGTTGATCCAACTTTCTTTTGAAAAAGTCGACGGATGGAGCCTCAACCACGTGCTGAGGTAGTGAATTCCACTCGTTGATGATTTGATGGGAAAGTCGATAGTCAGCTGACAAGTAATTTGTTCGCGGCTTATGAACTTTTTTGGAGTGTCCTCGTAAATTCTCTGTTTTGGAAGACAAGAAAAATGAGGGCATATCAGGTGCAAATTTATCACTAAGCAATTTGTAGACTGTAATCTAGTCGCCTCTAGTTCTGCGATATGACAACGGGAAAAGGTTCAGCTTGGCCAGTCGACCATCATACGGAAGCTTCGCTATTCCGGGAATCAGCTTGGTCGCCGTTCTCTGAACCTTTCCCAGAAGCTCACTGTCTTTTTTTAAGCAGGGGCTAGCCGCTTGTATGCAGTACTCAAGTTTAGGACGAACGAATACTGCATACAAGGTCAAAAACGTTTTAGTGTCGACATGACTAAAAGCCCTACGTATTGACCATAACGTTCTAAAACCTTTGGCGGCTATTGCACGGTAGTGTGGAGTAGTCTTTAAGTCTTGACCAACGATAACTCCTAAGTCATTATATGTCTGGACGACAGGTAGCTCAGTGTTATTCATCGTGTATGTATCTGTACCTTGATGACCGATATGCATCACAACACACTTGGAAGTCTTTATCGGCAACTGCCATGTTTGAGACCATTCAGATAACTTCTTCAGGTCATTTTGAAGTTCTAAGCTATCACTCTTACATCGTATCGCTTTCCATATCTTGACATCGTCAAGACCGACGATGATATGAGACAAGGAAGGTCATTTACATGCAAGAGGAATAGCACTGGCCCCAAAACTGTACCCTGGGGCACTCCACTAAGCACAGTTTCCCAGCTAGACAACTTGGAGTTCACCCTTACTCTTTGTTGACGCCCGACTAAGAAGTCTTTTATCCACATCAATAAATTGCCTCCAATCCCGACTTTTCTTAACTTATATAACAGCCGGTTGTGCGGAACTTTGTCAAAAGCTTTGCTGAAATTGTGGTGTGAGCTACTTATATTCATATAAGTAGTATATAACGTGCGTTAAAAGAACGTAATGTCCGGCAGCAGAAGATGGCGAAGATCAAGAAAGGAAGAGCAAGAGCACAATGGAATTGTAAGAAAACGCATGTACAATGGAATGGGAGACAATGGATTAGTGTTTGCAACGGGAACAGTACAGTTTCATATGATGGAATGATATTTTGCAAATTGACGATTGACTTTATGGTATTCACATTTTATTGAGATAGTCTGTAATCTTTGTGCTAAATACAATCGATTGTCCCCACCCGTGTTCTTGTTCACTACAAAATCAATGAAGGCGACGTCTACAGGTAGCTTTTGGTCCTTAAGAGCGCACCAGCTTTCACGAGCCACTAACAAGTTAGTGAGCCGTGCTGCTTCTCCGAGAGGATCCGGTTTTTATCGAGATACTTAAACAGCTCCTTCCGAATAATCTTTTCTAAGATTTTAACAACCACACTAGTTAGGCTAACGGGGCGGTAGTTCTCAGGTTTGTGTTTCGTGCCTGTTTTGAAGACAGGACTTACTATGGCGTTTTTCCAATCTTTCGGTAAGCGACCCTGCGTAACGGATAGGTTAAAGCATGTACTTAAAGGGTTCGCAACGAAGTTAGATAATTCCTTCAGTAGCCTAGAATGTAATTCATCGGGCCCCGTGGATTTACCTATGTCAAGCTTATTTAGCAGACCAAAGACATCGAGTTCTTTAATGGTCACGCTATCCAGTGTATGTATGGGGGGATCTGTATACGCTGACGGGAAGGGCGCTTCTATGGTATATACGTTGCTAAAGTAGTTCGAGAACACTTGAGCCTTACCAAAGTCGTCCTCCACTAATGATGAAGCAGTACTGTCTCCCCATAGAGCAGGAATATTTCCTTTTCTCCTTGTCCTTTGGTTTATATAGGAATACAAGCGTTTAGGACATTCTATGGATTCCTTAACAAGTTTTCCTTCGTACAGTTTTCTAGACATACGGAGGGTCGAGGCACAAGTATTCCGAGCCTTTCGATACTGAGATTTTGACTCATCAGTCCCCAGTAACCTAAATCTATCCCACATTTTCCTTTTCTTACGGAGAAAGATATGGACCTCCCTACTGAACCATGGTGGTGAGTTTTTCGGCCCCTTTGGTATAGCCCAAGGGATGTGAAGTGTGGTAATTTTTAAGTATGAATTTCGAAATGCGTCCCAGGCCGTTTCAATGGAGGACTCTGGGTCTATTGTCCAATCTATTAACGATGCTGAGTGCATGATGTCTGGTATGTTTGCTTTCCAGAAGTTGGGTCTGGACTGGACTGACGCGTCCTCATGACTGGCAGTTATATGGAAGTCGAAAGTTAAAACTGCGTGATCACTTTTACCTAAGGGTGGCATATGATGGAGGTTCGCAACATCATCCTCATAGTGAGTCAGTATAAGATCTAATAAGGATGATACAGTGTCCGGATCGTACCTTGTCGCTTCTTTCACATGTTGCACTAGAGCACATGTGATAACCCTATCAACTAGTTCCTGATCGAAAGAATTCTCCGACGATTTAGTTCGCAGATTTTCTCAGTCTACCATAGGTGCATTAAAGTTCCTTAGGATTAGACATCGACCACTTCGTGACCAAGTATTGAGACTGCTTAGCAGGACTTCATTTACGTCACAGCTTGGACTGCGATAGACCAAACCAATCAGAAGCTCTTGTCCCTTGCATTTCAAGCGGAAACTAACTAATTCATACGTCCCACTCTAATGGGATACACTGTCGATAATGCCAAATGGGATAGCATTCCTAATGAATAGAGCTACTCCCCCTCCTTTACGCTTTTGTATTCTGTCGGCCCTTACTAACGTAAAACCCTCGAAATCAAGTTCCATACTATCTATAGCCTGTGTCAGCCAGGTTTCTGTTACTGCGATTATGTCTAGCTTTGTAGAGTCAATCTGTACACCTAGTTCCGATCGCTTATTAAGTAAGCTTCGTTCATTGGTGTAACAGATCCGAAGTCTGTTTAAGTGCCTTCGTGCTTCACCCAGAGTGGCTTCAGCATCATTCTCTGTCGGTCTTACAACCCGAAAATTTACAATTTTCAGGTCCTTTTCGCCAGCGTCTAACCTAAGTTGTAGTTTTTTCTCGGCTTCCCGTCTTTTAACACGGTCTGCAAACGGGTAGGTCCTTTCGGATAAAAACTCTTGAACCCTTTAATTTGTGTCCATTCTGTAAAACTAGGTCACGTTCGTTCGAAGAGCTGAATACTACTTTAAGCAGTCTGGAATGATTTGGTTTCGAGTCCGCTAGACTCCCTAGTCTGTACACTTTTAGCAAGGTGACCCCGGTTCTATTTTGAGACATGAGTTGGTTAAGCAGCTGCCTAATCAGTACAATGTCATGCTCAAAACGAGCTTTAGGTTTAGAGCTCTCGCTCTCCTTGATTCTATGAAAAATAGCTGATCTGTCGCTATGATCAGCTTTCGATTTTTCAACTACTTTTACGGGGGCAGGGTTCCCTTTTATATCCCTACTTTTCTTCCTTACAACCTTTACCCATTCGTCAACGGTGCTGGTAGATGCAATAACAGTTGCGTCAAACCTAGTGTTGGATTTCGGGGGGTTGTCGACGACCTGGGAAATCGGGTTGTGTTTACCGCTTGAAACCGATCGAGCCTTGCGATTGTGGCTTCTAGGTGTTTCCTGTTGGATCCCATCTGGGAGACGGGGAACAAAAGACCCTACTTTTCTTGAGCTTTTGTTTAAGGCAGGCCCCTTTGGAGACTGCTTTTCCTTCTTTGACGGGCGTGAGTCATCTACCATCGAACTAACCTTAGTTTCCTTCACGTTGATTTGCGTGTCGACAGATCGAGTGTTGTTTGACGCGTTCCGACTATGCTTGCTAAAACACTTCTTTGCAGCATCAACCAGTGAGATGGCCTCGGTTAACAAGCTGTTTGCATCCGAGCAGCACTGTTGACAAAGCCATACACAACCCTTCTTACTGAACCTTTTGAAAGCAGCAGGCGTTAAGTTCGTGCAAACTTCGTGGTACCAGCCTTTGAACTCGTCGCACTGCATGCCGCTTTCAACCGGATTACGACAACCCGGACGTTGACAACTGCTTTTTTTTACACTGTCCGGTCATTTAGGAGGGGTTCTTTTTTAAGATGCGATGATACTCAGAAAAAAAAATAAT